ATGTTTAAGGGGAAATTACAAAAAATTACAAAATTGGACCAACTGAAATCTGTCATTCTACAATGTACAATAAATATATTTCTGCAGTTCTACCTTTTGGTAATTAAAAATCTTTGATAACATATTTAAAATAATTTCACCTGAAATGATAACTAAATAACATACCTGTATATATATCTGGCGGTTGTGATGTCAATACATTTTCATAACTATGGCTGGGTTTAGACAGTGGTTTTGTACTCACACCTACAATATATGGTCTGCCACCACTACTACTGCTACCACTAGATGCAGTACTTACAACATCTGGCTAAAAAGTCAAAGTGAAAAATATAGATTAGACTGTAAATACATAGGTGGGGGCAGACCATAGAAGATGGTAAGATAGACTACAAATGGTAGGTAAGATCACTACATAGGGTGGGGAGATCACTACATAGGGTGGGGAGATCACAGCATAGGGTGGGGAGATCACTGCATAGGGTTGGGAGATCATAGCATAGGGTCGGGAGATCATGGCATAGGATATTAGCCATATACATATAAAGTTAGATAGTAATAACCTAATTAAAATGTGAAAACAAATATTGTTAGTTATTATGACTATGCAAAGAAACAATATAAAGGAATTCAAAAGCAGGGATAAAGTTGAGAGTGCAAATCCATGATGTTATTTGAAGTTGAAAGATCTGACACCATATATTTATTCAATTTATTTATTTATCATGAACTTAAACCTGATCAGATTAGTTAAATTTCTAGAAATCATGACTGGGATTGAATTTCCCAATCTTCCACTTTAAAGTAAAGGTCTTAGCCACTGCACTATTAAATTTCCAATAGACACTATATACACTTTATTAAAAAAAAAACTTTAAAAAAATCACCAAAAATACAAATTTTGGAAGATCAACTCTGAAATCTATACAGGCTAACTATACCTACAGATTAACCATATATTTAAGTTTAATATCAATTGGGTGAACATTATTGGAGTTACTGTGACCACAAGAAAAGTTCACAAAGACAACGCCACACAACAGATTTTTGCCACTACTATGACTTTCCCTTTACTTCATTATGGGTAAGCCAAAGACAGATTTATTTTACTCACAATTATTATTCCTATGGTTATATCTCATTTCCTTCTTTTTTAAGACTATGAATCAAAAAGAGCATTTATTTTCTATGCTAATATCTCACAGTATGCTGCATACAGTCAATAGCAGCTGTAATATCAACATGGTGAATTCTGAACACCCTTATGGGTCCCCTTACTTGATCATGTGCAATCTGTGCCAGCTTTCGTTCCATGCTCTCAGTGGAAGAATTCACATCCACACCACTCTCCTCTTCAGAATTGTGACCACTCTGTCGCCTTGTCCAGATGTCTTGGTCAAACGGACTGCGGATATGTCCCATAGGAAGTAGGTTCTTTCCGAGCAAGGGGTCGCTGGTATGTTGGTAACCTAAACACATTGGATATGGTAATTAGGATTAGAGACAGCAGGCATTAACAACTATTTATAAACACACTGCTCGTTAGTCACAATGTTTTGAATTAATTACCAACCTCACTACCAATGATCTGCAATGACTTTCAAAACCAAATTACAGAATAAAATGATTGACATAAAATAATTTAAAATTTATCTACAGCCTAAAATAAAAGTCTCTACAGTTGTCAAAAATATAAAAAAAAATCCTATTCTATTATTTATGCTGGTAATAGAATTATCAAAGAACAAATAAACAAATAGTAATTTAATGATTTATATTTAAATGTAACGTTTGCTTGACAAAGATATGTAAACATAACAGATTAAATTATGCATTTATTGCATTAATTGTAATTATAGAATATATATAGCTTTCAAATACAGAGAAGTACCACTTCAGTTTTAGATTGAATATTCATACAATTCATGATGCAGACACTGTACTAGTAAGCTAAACAGTCATCAAGTATACACATATACTATAACTATACACATAGATGACATTTGTAGCATTGTTTTTTGGGACAGTGAAATGACAGTGCATTACACTCTCAGTATGTAGCAAATTAAATACTTCCTGTTGATGGTAATTTAAGCCCATCCTATATCAGTAGTGTTTACCCAATTTGTTATGGATTATTAATTAATGAGGCTAAAATTAAATTAATGGGCTAGATGCAGTTGAGTTCTTGCATGCAGACCAGACTCAATGATTGTAATTATAACAATGCAAGGAAGCAGTACACAGTCTCATTCCATTTTGTTTTTGTCAGAAAAAATATACTGAAAGGAATAATCATAGATATAATTATAGTAAATTGTATGAGTGTCCTACCTAACTGTTCATGCACACTTTGCTAACATACATATACTATGTGTTAGATTTAGCTTATGGCTAGGCATTTTTTTAAGTGTTCTTAGTGTGGGCTGCAGTTGTGACCTTAGCTTGTGCTATGGAGCTGAGGGCAAACACAACACCAGTAATAATATACTATATTTTTGGACAATTATAAAGTAACTTTAAATTAAATTATTATAGTTAATGCAATCGCTGAATGGATTCATGTAAATCTGTGTACAATACAGGATGTGCAGACTTGGGTTATTTAACAAAACAAAAACAAAGGTGTTCACAAAGCTTATTATTATGCAATGACCACACATATTTGTAAAATGGTTAGGATATTGGGATCAATTTGTTGTCAAGTCAAAACCGCACACAGTTGCTGGTGAAGTTGATGCATGTTTATAATGTGTATATTTATAATGGAAAATATATTCACAATCATTGTGTATAAGAACTCAATATAGCAGGGCAGAACAAGTCAGTTCATATAATACTGTCTGACAAGATTTTGTCAAAACAACAAAAATTCCATTCCAACTTCCATGGCATGGAATACATTGATCTCAGTTATATTTACAATAAATTGACAAAATATCATCACCACACATAAAACCTATTCATGGTCCAAAACTATAAATATGAGGAACTGCTCACCACTATGCTATTTCTGTACCTTGCAACAAAGCTATACTTTGTAAAAAGAGAGATTATTTCTAAATGTTTTTATTTATTGAAGTAATTCCATTCATAGAAATAATTCAAGACTAGCATTCGTATTTCATTTGTTTATGTCAGATTTATATTTTGTTCATGATGAACTTTCAACTCTACACAGGGGACCTTTGAATGTAAATAACCAGGCATCTCCTACACAATTAACTTTTGAATTTAATTAATTGTTTCTATCAGTAAAATTAAATTATTAAAACGATAAAACTCCTTTATATTGAAAATTATTTTTATAAACAATTTCCATGATATAACTGAATTATTATTTTTTTTGAAACAATGAAATTATTTCCAAAATGTTTGGCACTTATCGTTCGACCAAAATAATTTCAATTTTCATTCTAAAAATGATTATTCTTTGATGGTATAATGGAAGGAATATAGCTCTATTCACCTTGAACTTGACAGATGAACTCTACAACAGTATTGATTGTCCTTGTCAAAAAGGTTATCAGTACATAAGAATGCATGTTTGAGAGAAATTTTAAAAATAATCAGTCAAAAGAAGTTGAAGCTTTTTCAAGAAACAAACAATATAAAATAATTTGACAAACAAATATTTAATGATTTAATTATCTTTATTAATTAGTGATCTATATATTACTAATTAATGATTTGACTGCCTATAGTGTCTATCTGAATACAACTATGAGAGCAATGGCATCCTAATTATACACAAGTAACAAGACTTGTAAACAAAACTGAAACGATTAAGTCAGCCATTTTGAAGATACATGGGAACACATGAACAAAATTCAATAAAAAAGTGCCTAGAGACTGATACAGCTATAGGGGCATCAAATTACACTTAGTTGTGGTTTGTAAATGTAATCAATTACCCAACACATAAAGCCACATTAACAGAAGTATAAATCAGTGAGAGCACATAAACCTAACATAAGACAGCCACACTACCTGTATGCTATAAAACATGTCCACTGTGTGGAATCTGAATACCATTTTTTGACTGAATATGAAATGCTAACAACAATTACAGAAAAAACTATTCCAGAAAATCTCATCACATTATAATTATTTCAATAACCTATTAAAGTACTACTTTCTGCTTTAATCTGGGCCCTGCACAAAATCTAGCTCTATGTGTTGGTTATCACATATTTCACTCATGTAGGCTACATTCTTTGTTGTTGTTAGAAGGTGAAGTTAATAAATACATAATACCAGTATATGCAGGGTTATTTTACATTATGTCACCACCACCACCAACAATACATGCACTATTTGACAAGCTTTGCATAAACTTACCTGGTGGTGGTTGATGTCTTGGACTGCCATGTTGGGAACTCTGATCAATAACTTCACCATATGGACCATTGGGACCAGGAGCTTGTGAGTATAATTGAGGCATTTGCTGTGGAGTGCAATATCACAACTGATGATAAGTTCAGGAATTTCATTCAGTAAATTATTTGAATGTTTAATGGCAGTGTAATAGATGCATGGTAAGGCCGAGTAATCACAGCCAGGCTGGTAACTGCAACAGCGACAATAGCTGCAACTATTTTTTCTCTGGTTTTTATTTTATGCTGTGTCAATTTGTAACAGCCATTGCTCAAATTTATCAGAATTTAGCAAATTTGAAGGACAAAATGGCTACCAGTCAGCTTTATTTAATCAAATCATATGTAGGTCATCATACATTGTTTGAGCGAGATCAGTCAAAGGGTGTTTGAGAAATGGCTCCGGACGGACACACGGATGCACGAACGGATGGAACCCAAACTAATAGTCCCCATTTTCAGACTTGGTCCTAACAGAGACTAAAAAGCTGAAATCTGACTAATTATTCTGCAAATTTGGTAATTAGTATGAACAGATTTAACTAAAAACTTGTTAGTTATGTGCATTGTCCTAGAGCATGTACCAAGTTTCATCAAAATATGATGACTAGTACTTGAATCTGGGCAACTGTACCATAAATAAACATGCTAAAACAGTATCTACCAAATTAAATAA